CCCGCCCCCCAAGATGTTGCCCCGCCCCCCAAGATGGGCCCAAGAAGTGAGAGAATGGCCTGGGCTTGTTGCCCCACCCCCCAAGATGGGCCCAAGAAGTGAGAGAATGGCCTCGACTTGTTTGCCCCGCCCCCCAAGATGGGCCCAAGAAGTGAGAGAATGGCCTGGCTTAGAGGTGCGTCTGGGCGGATCTTGGAGGGGCGTGTTTGGCTTAGAGGTGCGTCTTGCAGGGGTGTGGTTGCAGACTCGGGCCATAGAACCTTTTCGCAGAGCAAGCAGACCTGAGGCCTGTTTTTGCTTTGCCCCATAGTAGGGCTGTTTAGGGCGATAAGCTTGTTGTTTTAGGCCTGTTTTTGCTTTAGGGCCTTTTTTTGCTTTTCCCCATAGTAGGGCTGTTTAGGGCGATAAGCTTGTTGTTTTAGGCCTGTTTTTGCTTCACCTCTAAGCCATAGGGCGATAAACTTGTTGTTTTTGGGCCTGTTTTTGCTTTAAGCATCTCAGTTTACTTAAACCACCCTCTTTTAGGCTCTTGTGAGGAAGCCAAAACAACAAGTTTATCGCCCTAAATTGAGATGTTCTACAACCACACCCCTGCAAGATGCACCTCTCACCCCTCCATGACCCGCCCAGACGCACCTCTACAAAAAGAGAGTGTTTTGGCGCGAGCTATTTCGACTATAGGGAAAAGCAAAAACAGGCCTCTAAAATCCTGCTTCCTCAATTGAGATGAAACAGGCCCAAAAACAACAAGTTTATCGCCCTAAACAGCCCGACTATGGGGAAAAGCAAAAACAGGCCTCAATAATGTGCAAAACACACGCAAGAACTTGTTGTTTCTAGGCCTGTTTTTGCTTTAGAGGTGCGTCTTGGAGGGAAGTGTTTGGCTTGGAGAGCGGCGTGTTTGGCTTAGATGGGGGGTGTTTGGCTTAGAGGTGCGTCTTGGAGGGAAGTGTTTGGCTTGGAGAGCGGCGTGTTTGGCTTAGATGGGGGGTGTTTGGCTTAGAGGTGCGTCTTGGAGGGAAGTGTTTGGCTTGCAGAGCGGCGTGTTTGGCTTCGAGGTGCGTCTGGGCGGGTCTTGGAGGGTCGTATTTGGCTTAGAGGTGCGTCTTGCAGGGGTGTGGTTGGGCGGTGCCATAAGCAAATGGAATGGGCAGGCGTTTAAAATCCTGCTTCCTCACAAGAGCCTCAAAAAGGGTGGTTTAATTAAATTGAGATGTTTAAAGCAAAAACAGGCCTAGAAACAACAAGTTCTTGCGTGTGTTTTGCACATTATTGAGGCCTGTTTTTGCTTTTCCCCATAGTCGGGCTGTTTGGGCCATAGAACCTTTTCGCAGAGCAAGCAGACCTGAGGCCTGTTTTTGCTTTCCCCATAGTAGGGCTGTTTAGGGCATCTTTTTGCTTTTCCCCATAGTAGGGCTGTTTAGGGCGATAAGCTTGTTGTTTTAGGGCCTTTTTTTGCTTTTCCCCATAGTAGGGCCGTTTAGGGCGATAAGCTTGTTGTTTTAGGCCTGTTTTTGCTTTAAGCATCTCAGTTTACTTAAGGGCGATAAGCTTGTTGTTTTAGGCCTGTTTTTGCTTTAAGCATCTCAGTTTACTTAAACCACCCTCTTTTAGGCTCTTGTGAGGAAGCAGAGCCCATTAATGTGCAAAACACACGCAAAACAGCCCGACTATGGGGAAAAGCAAAAACAGGCCTCAATAATGTGCAAAACACACGCAAGAACTTGTTGTTTCTAGGCCTGTTTTTGCTTTAAACATCTCAATTTAATTAAACAGCCCTACTATGGGGAAAAGCAAAAACAGGCCTGAATCGAATCTGGGAGGCCTGTTTTTGTTTTTCCCCATAGTAGGGCTGTTTAGGGCAGGCCAAGCAAAAACAGGCCTCAATTAGTGTGTGAAACGTGTCCTGTGTTCTAAACCAGACCCATGGGACACTAAAGCAAATCCTGCTTATTCACAAGAGCCATAGCAGGGCTGTAAGGTCCCAGGTCTGCTTGCGCTGCGACAAGGTTCTATGGCCCGGGCAGGCCTGGTTTTGCTTTTCCCCATAGTAGGGCTGTAGGGTCCCAGGTCTGCTTGCTCTGCGAAAAGGTTCTATGGCCCGAATCTGAGGCCTGCTTTTGCTTTTCCCCAGGGTGGTAGGGCTGTTGAGGGCAGGCCTGTTTTTGCTTTTCCCCATAGTAGGGCTGTAAGGTCCCAGGTCTGCTTGCTCTGCGAAAAGGTTCTATGGCCCGAATCTGGGTTTCAAGTTAAGGCGTGGTTTCTAAAAGCCTTTTGTGTCTCGGAAGGACGAAAGACCACTAGCAAGTGCCCCAGGACGATGAAAGGGGATTCAGAGGGTTTCCGTAAGGGTTCCTTGGAATTCGTTTTGGGGTATTATTGTACTATTCTCCCACCGCGCTTTCCAAGGAACGCCCTTCCTACTATGCAGTCTGGGGCAGGGAGCCAAACACGCCCCGCCCAGACGCACCTCTAAGCCAAACACGCCGCTCTGCAAGCCAGGGGTGTAGGCCGGTTTTTGCTTTTTCCCCATAGTAGGGCTGTTTGGAGCGTGCCCATTCCATTTGCTTATGGGACCGCCCGGCCACACCCCTTCTAAGCCAAACACGCCCCTCCAAGACCCGTCCAGACGCACCTCTAAGCCAAACACGCCGCTTTGCAAGCCAGGGGGTGTAGGCCTGTTTTTGCTTTTTCCCCATAGTAGGGCTGTTTAGGGCAGGCCTGTTTTTGCTTTTCCCCATAGTAGGGCTGCAAGGTCCAAGGTCTGCTTGCTCTGCGAAAAGGTTCTGCCCCTGCCATTTTGCTTATGGCACCGCCCAACCACACCCCTGCAAGACGCACCTCTAAGCCAAACACGCCCCTCCAAGACCCGCCCAGACGCACCTCCAAGCCAAACACGCCGCTGCAAGCCAGGGGGTGTAGGCCTGTTTTTGCTTTTCAGACTCGGGCCATAGAACCTTTTCGCAGAGCAAGCAAACCTGAGGCCTGTTTTTGCTTTTCCCCATAGTAGGGCTGTTTAGGGCCTTTTTTTGCTTTTCCCCATAGTAGGGCTGTTTAGGGCGATAAGCTTGTTGTTTTAGGGCCTTTTTTGCTTTTCCCCATAGTAGGGCTGTTTAGGGCGATAAGCTTGTTGTTTTAGGCCTGTTTTTGCTTTAAGCATCTCAGTTTACTTAAGGGCGATAAGCTTGTTGTTTTAGGCCTGTTTTTGCTTTAAGCATCTCAGTTTACTTAAACCACCCTCTTTTAGGCTCTTGTGAGGAAGCAGTGAGGCTCTTGCGAATAAGCAGGATTTGCTTTAGAACCTTTTCGCAGAGCAAGCAGACCTGGGACCTTGCCGCCCTACTATGGGGATGGCTCAGAGGCATGCCCGAAACAGCCCTATTATGGGGAAAAGCAAAAACAGGCCTACACCCCCTGGCTTGCAGCGGCGTGTTTGGCTTAGAGGTGCGTCTGGGCGGGTCTTGGAGGGGCGTGTTTGGCTTAGAGGTGCGTCTTGCAGGGGTGTCATAAGCAAAATGGCATGGGCAGAACTGCAGAACCTTTTCGCAGAGCAAGCAGACCTTGGACCTTACAGCCCTACTATGGGGAAAAGCAAAAACAGGCCTGCCCTAAACAGCCCTACTATGGGGAAAAAGCAAAAACAGGCGTACACCCCCTGGCTTGCAAAGCGGCGTGTTTGGCTTAGAGGTGCGTCTGGACGGGTCTTGGAGGGGCGTGTTTGGGCCATAGAACCTTTTCGCAGAGCAAGCAGACCTGGGACCTTACAGCCCTACTATGGGGAAAAGCAAAAACAGGCCTGCCCTAAACAGCCCTACTATGGGGAAAAAGCAAAAACAGGCCTACACCCCTGGCTTGCAGAGCGGCGTGTTTGGGTCTTGGAGGGGAGCGTTTGGCTTAGAGGTGCGTCTTGCAGGGGTGTGGTTGGGCGGTGCCGTAAGCAAATGGAATGGGCATGCCCTAAACAGCCCTACTATGGGGAAAAAGCAAAAACAGGCCTACACCCCCTGGCTTGCAGAGCGGCGTGTTTGGGTTAGAGTTGCGTCTGGGCGGGTCTTGGAGGGGCGTGTTTGGCTCAGAGGTGCGTCTTGCAGGGGTGTGGATGGGCTTGCGGCTTTTCCGAACTCTGCCTGCTCTGCCAAAGGGTTCTTCTAATATAGCTCGTGCCAGCAGTTATGCAACAAAAGGTGCGTATTGGAGGGGGTGTTTGGCTTAGAGGCGGGTTTGGCTAGATGAGTCTTGGAGGGGGGGGTGTTTAGCTTAGAGGTGCGTCTTGGAGGTTCTTGGAGGGTTGGCTTAGAGGTGCATCTTAGAGAAGGGTGTTCGCTTAGATGGAGGGTGGTGTTTGGCGTAGAGGTGCGTCCTGGAGGGTCTTGGAGTAGTTTCTGATGCTTTTGCTTGATCTGGCTTGGAGGAGTAATTGGGAGCCAGCGCTATCTCTTTTCTTTGCTCTTTTTCTTCTCTCCCCGCTTCTCGTACTTGTGATTCGAACGCATATTAAAGAGGAAAACAAATAAAGTGAGAGAGCTTCCATCCCAAGCGAGAGAGCTCTCACGCTCTGTGCTCTTCTCTCTGTGCGTGCTCTCTGTCTCTCTCTCTCTCTCTTTCTCTGATCTCTGCTCTCATTTGCCGGCAGTCGACTGGAATCACCAAACTGTGCACAAAGCCAATGAGCAATTTCTGTTTTTGTCTGGTTCAGAGCCTGCAGTTCCAGTGACAGCACGTTTGGAACGCGTCGCCTGATCCTCGTACCTCCAGATCAAGCTACGTGAAAATCTTGCTGCAAAAGGGCCATTCACCCCGGATTAACATTGACACTGGCTGTAATTAGAGTCGGACCCTCAAGAAACACTAGGCCCATTGGCCGTGTTCAAAAAAGGTGTGAAACTAGTTCAAAGAAGCGCGCCAAACATCTGCGCAACACAAGACTGACATGTCTCACATTTGATGTCTCATATTTGAAGTCTCACACTTGTGTCTCACATGCCTCCGCGCTTCTGACCCTAGGCCAAGAGCAGCGCGGCAAGCCCGAGAACCGCGGCGGAGGCGGAGCCGGCGATTGCAGAGCTGGGCGGCTCACCGCCGTCGTCGCCATCGTCACCGTCGTCACCATCGTCACCGTCGTCGCCATCGTCACCGGTCGAGTTGTCTGCAGTCGTCGTTGTGGTCGTGGTCGTGGTCGTGGTTGTCGGGGCAGCGACGCGAACGGTCGACTTGCCGGTGACCTCCACGGTGCCCGTGAAGCCCGTGCTGGCGACAGCGGTGCTGATGGCTTCGGTCGTTTTCGCCAAAGACACCGTCTCAATTGCCACTTGCTTTTCGATGGCTGCTTCCAGGCTGGGCATAGTCACAGTGAAAATGGCCGTCAGCGTGACCTGAAGCTTCCTGGAGTGGGAACTGAGGCGTCGATTCGTCTGGAACTCCAGCGTCACATCCTCTTCATCCACCTCCATAACCTCTGCGAACCCTGCAATCATGGCATTGGTCACGGTGGCGTTCTCGGTGATCGTGGTCGGATCCTCCACCGTCATGTCCATGGAAACTTCAATGCTGCTGTAAACGTTTCCAGCCAGCGTCGTTGAGGTGGTAACACTCCTCGGGTCCTGAATACAAACGCCCGACTCGAACATGGGCTTCCACATGCACGAGGCGTCACCAGCACAGCCCGATTCATCTTCCACATAGGAAACTGCGCACTTGGAGATGTTGCCGAGGGTCTCCAAGTACTCCTTCGGGCCGTAGAGAGTTGTGCTACAATCGCGGGAGTCGACCGGGGCCGGGTTCCACAGGCTGGTCCACGCTCGCCAGCCGTAGCGCGTCTTGTCCTTCGGAGTGAACTCGTTGGTGATGTTGTAATTTGGGTCGCTGATCTTCCAGGCGATGTAGTCGTCCCCAGTAGGGCCAAAGGCCAGGCTGCAGTCGCTCCACGATTGAGACGTTGTTGCGAGATCCCAGGCCTCACAGAACTTCTTGGCATCCTCGGTCTTGTACAGCACCTCGTACTTGTCGTGGTGGTAGTTCAGCGTGATGCTGAACAGCGTCTCTGCCTGCTCCATGGAAGCCTCGCAGTTGGGACGCTCACCACAGTACTTGGAGTTCCTCAGGACGTAGGGCAGCACGGGCTTGTCTTCCGTCTCCATGAGAACGCTCACAGGTGCCTTGATGATGTGGTAGTTATCCGTGAGGGCGAACCACTTCGTTTTCACAAGAGAGGCGGTCTCGCACAGGTGGTAGTAGGCATCACGCGTGGCCGTCGCCGTCTCCATGGTCACGTTGCCGTTCGGGCCCTCAATGGTCTCGGTCATATCCGGCTGCGGGTAGTAGGTCAGGGCCAGGATCTTCTTGAAGGGGTGGTGCGTGGGCACGGTCGCCTTCAAGTGCCCCTGGTAATCGAACATCGCCACTCCCAGGGTCACTTCGTCATCCTCAACAGTTTCGAAGAGGTTTTTGCTGGAGCCGTGGCGGATGTAGGTTGGGAATTCGAAGCTGGTGTTCAGAAGCGTGTTGGCGTAGTTGCCCACCAGCATGGAATCCCAGTTGTAGGTCTGGCTGTCGCCATTCGCAGCCGTCCAGGCAGCCGCAAACTGGCTGCTGCTTCCGGACATGGCATCCATGGTGATCATGGCAAACGCCACATCGAAGGCCATCTCTTCCATCATAGTGCCACCGCCCATGCTGTGGAAAGCGTCGTACACAGCCTTGGTCCACGGGTGCTTCAGATTGTACATGGCGTTGCCGTTGATGTGATCCACCAAGTAGGTCGGCATCATCGACTTGAACAGGTCCCACTTGTCGCCAAGGTACTGGCTCCCGCGGACGGCCATGTTCCCGCCCGGCATCTCGAGAGCCTCCGTCTCGAACTGGTCGAGCCAGCCGCTCTTGATGGGAACCGCGTCCATCTCCATGAGGAAGAAAGTGTCGTACATGTCCATGAACTCACCCTCAAGCATGGCCGTCATGATCTTCGAGAAGACCGCATTGGGGCCAGAGACCCAGTGCTTGTTCGTGGTGTAGCCGCGGTTGTCGTACACGTCTTGCTCTGGGTTCAGCATGGCCGACATGTTCTTGATGCCGGAGAAGCAATTTGTCCAGCCTTGTTTCGAGTCGAATGCCGCACCATAAGCATCCACCGCTTTCTTGGCTTCGGGGTCGGCCGCCAGATCCTTGCTGTAGACCAGGATGAGATCGATAGTGCTCGTGTTGGACTTGCTAGCGCAGGGCGTCGTGGTGTCCCACATGCCAGCACTGTCCATTAGCAGCTGCACCTCCTCCTCCGTCGAGAACACGCGGACCACTGCGAGGCTGGATCCTGCAAACGGTTTTAAGGTTTGTGCTCGAGTCGAGGCGGGACGACGAACCCTGCTCTCTGTGCGCATTGCGCTTTGACCCCTCTCAAAGGTTCCATACAAGGGGATTTGTTAAGGTTGGGCTTGGGAATGCTCTCCTGCAGCCACGGCTGCCAATGCTGCGAGTGCCAAGGTCAGCAGCTTCATGGCTAGAAATGGCTAGACGATGCTACTGTGAACCACCAGAACCGACACTTGAGAAGCACGCAGCCGGCTCCTTCTCAAAAGACCGTCCGGGTTGACATGGGCTGATCATCACAACTTGGTTAGTGGTTTGCAGTTTACAAGCCGCCTCAACAACAGATCGCCTTGCCTCAGGGTGCGGCTCCGGGCGTGCCTCTGCACCACCGCATTTTCCGTGCCTGCCTGAGGGCCGGGGGCGGGGGGGAGAAGGGGGGGGCTACCACAAGAGAAACTTGGAGACAAGCAAACATCTGAGGACTATTCCTGCCTGATGGTGTGAAGCTTGTATGGTAAGCAAGGTGAGGTATACCGTTAGAGTCGTGCAATGATTCCCGTAGTCACTGCGGAGAGGGTTGGCCGCAAAGATTTCCAAGATTTCAAGAGGTCGCGCAAGCGCCAGGCAGGCAGCCAGGGAGCCAGCGTGGACCCGACGAGCACAAGATTTTCCAAACCCAGCCGGAGTGGGAAGCCGGGAAGCCGGGAAGCTGGGAAGCCGGGAAGCCGGGAAGTCGGCGTGGGAGATAGTAGTGACTAGTAGTGTGGAGATGCCTGGACAAAAAAAGAGCCTTGTGAGGCTTGTGATTCGCGAAGAGCCCCCACAGGGCCCCGGGCCCCAACCACCACCTGAGCCGTGTGGGCTTGAAAGCACGTGCACTCGCAAAGCCGCCAGAAAAAAACATCTCTCCACAACAGTTCTGAGAGAGCTCTCATTAAAATTTTTGAGGAGAAGAAATGTCGTCTTCCTTCTCATCTCTCATCTCTCATCTCTCATCTCTCATCTCTCATCTCTCATCTCTCATCTCTCATCTCTCATCTCTCATCTCTCATCTCTCATCTCTCATCTCTCATCTCTCATCTCTGATCTCTCATCTCTCATCTCTCATCTCTCATCTCTCATCTCTGATCTCTGATCTCTCATCTCTCATCTCTCATCTCTCATCTCTCTCTCTCTCTCTCTCTTCCCTTCCCAAAACCTGCTCGGGAGGAGAAGCTGAGAAGCGCGGCTCCGACACCGAGTTTGTTGCGTGCCCCACCCTCCCCTCTCCCCTCTCCCCCTTCCTTTCCCTTCTTTTCTTCCCACATTTGCCTTTTATTCTTAGCTCGGGCGCTCTTGAAAATGACTTTACTCTACTTTATAAAGAGAGAGAGAGAGAGAGAGAGAGAGAGAGAGCAGGGAGAGTTTGCTTTTTCCTTGCGAGGGCTGGCCCCTCTTTTTTTGGAGGGGGGGGGGGGGGGGGGGGGGGGGGGCAGGATCTCATAACGCCCTTCCCCCCCTTCTAAATTAAAGGTTCCTCGGAAACCTTATTAAAAACAACGGAAGCCCCCAACAAAAAAAGCGATGGGGCACATCTGGGCTACAGTTCCCAGAAAGGACACATATAGGCCACATAGGACACATGCGCAACTCGTGAAACTCACCGGCCCTGAAAAGCTCTGCAGCACGCATCAAACCTCCATCATCAGAGCCTCTGAGCCGACTCTTCAGGAGCGGCAAGGACGGCAAGGAGTTGGCGACCCAACGCCCAACCTGGGCAACGATCTTAACGATCTTTCGATGTCCGGTTCATTTGCTGCAGTTCGTCTTTACAAGCTCAAACCTGGAATGCGCAGCTCATGCAACCATTTTAACACCCAACTTCGCAGGCTTTCAACTTTAGTCGCAGTCCTTGGGGGGCCTGATGCGGCCTCTCGTGTCGTTGTGATGTGTGGGCGCTCGTCATGTGCGGCACCATGCTCTGCCACGCTCTGCAATGCCCCAGGTGTTGAGAACATGTTGAGAGACGCGTCATGCGTCATGCCTGGCTGACCGTCTTGGACATACTTTAGCTGCTAGCTCCGGCCATGAGATCTCTCCATTTGCGGGGCATGGCAAGAATTCAGTCTGATCAAGAAGTTGCACTAGGCGCATTGACCGTGTCGAAAACTGTGTGAAACTAGTTCAAAGAAGCGCCGCAAACATTGGAAACAAATTGCACAAGAATCACTTACTCACTTGTCGTACATTTGAAGTCTCAAATTTGTGTCTCACATGCCTCCGCGCTTCTGACTCTAGGCCAAGAGCAGCGCGGCGAGCCCGAGAACCGCGGCGGAGGCGGAGCCGGCGATTGCAGAGCTAGGCGGCTCACCGCCGTCGTCGCCATCGTCACCGTCGTCACCATCGTCACCGTCGTCGCCATCGTCACCGGTCGAGTTGTCTGCAGTCGTCGTCGTGGTCGTGGTCGTGGTCGTGGTTGTCGGGGCAGCGACGCGAACGGTCGACTTGCCGGTGACCTCCACGGTGCCCGTGAAGCCCGTGCTGGCGACAGCGGTGCTGATGGCTTCGGTCGTTTTCGCCAAAGACACCGTCTCAATTGCCACTTGCTTTTCGATGGCTGCTTCCAGGCTGGGCATAGTCACAGTGAAAATGGCCGTCAGCGTGACCTGAAGCTTCCTGGAGTGGGAACTGAGGCGTCGATTCGTCTGGAACTCCAGCGTCACATCCTCTTCATCCACCTCCATAACCTCTGCGAACCCTGCAATCATGGCATTGGTCACGGTGGCGTTCTCGGTGATCGTGGTCGGATCCTCCACCGTCATGTCCATGGAAACTTCAATGCTGCTGTAAACGTTTCCAGCCAGCGTCGTTGAGGTGGTAACACTCCTCGGGTCCTGAATACAAACGCCCGACTCGAACATGGGCTTCCACATGCACGAGGCGTCACCAGCACAGCCCGATTCATCTTCCACATAGGAAACTGCGCACTTGGAGATGTTGCCGAGGGTCTCCAAGTACTCCTTCGGGCCGTAGAGAGTTGTGCTACAATCGCGGGAGTCGACCGGGGCCGGGTTCCACAGGCTGGTCCACGCTCGCCAGCCGTAGCGCGTCTTGTCCTTCGGAGTGAACTCGTTGGTGATGTTGTAATTTGGGTCGCTGATCTTCCAGGCGATGTAGTCGTCCCCAGTAGGGCCAAAGGCCAGGCTGCAGTCGCTCCACGATTGAGACGTTGTTGCGAGATCCCAGGCCTCACAGAACTTCTTGGCATCCTCGGTCTTGTACAGCACCTCGTACTTGTCGTGGTGGTAGTTCAGCGTGATGCTGAACAGCGTCTCTGCCTGCTCCATGGAAGCCTCGCAGTTGGGACGCTCACCACAGTACTTGGAGTTCCTCAGGACGTAGGGCAGCACGGGCTTGTCTTCCGTCTCCATGAGAACGCTCACAGGTGCCTTGATGATGTGGTAGTTATCCGTGAGGGCGAACCACTTCGTTTTCACAAGAGAGGCGGTCTCGCACAGGTGGTAGTAGGCATCACGCGTGGCTGTCGCCGTCTCCATGGTCACGTTGCCGTTCGGGCCCTCAATGGTCTCGGTCATATCCGGCTGCGGGTAGTAGGTCAGGGCCAGGATCTTCTTGAAAGGGTGGTGCGTGGGCACGGTCGCCTTCAAGTGCCCCTGGTAATCGAACATCGCCACTCCCAGGGTCACTTCGTCATCCTCAACAGTTTCGAAGAGGTTTTTGCTGGAACCGTGGCGGATGTAGGTTGGGAATTCGAAGCTGGTGTTCAGAAGCGTGTTGGCGTAGTTGCCCACCAGCATGGAATCCCAGTTGTAAGTCTGGCTGTCGCCATTCGCAGCCGTCCAGGCAGCCGCAAACTGGCTGCTGCTTCCGGACATGGCATCCATGGTAATCATGGCAAATGCCACATCGAAGGCCATCTCTTCCATCATGGTTCCACCGCCCATGCTGTGGAAAGCGTCGTACACAGCCTTGGTCCACGGGTGCTTCAGATTATACATGGCATTGCCGTTGATGTGATCCACCAAGTAGGTCGGCATCATCGACTTGAACAGGTCCCACTTGTCGCCAAGGTACTGGCTCCCGCGGACGGCCATGTTCCCGCCCGGCATCTCGAGAGCCTCCGTCTCGAATTGGTCGAGCCAGCCGCTCTTGATGGGAACCGCGTCCATCTCCATGAGGAAGAAGGTGTCGTACATGTCCATGAACTCACCCTCAAGCATGGCCGTCATGATCTTCGAGAAGACCGCATTGGGGCCAGAGACCCAGTGCTTGTTCGTGGTGTAGCCGCGGTTGTCGTACACGTCTTGCTCTGGGTTCAGCATGGCCGACATGTTCTTGATGCCGGAGAAGCAATTTGTCCAGCCTTGTTTCGAGTCGAATGCCGCACCATAAGCATCCACCGCCTTCTTGGCTTCGGGGTCGGCCGCCAGATCCTTGCTGTAGACCAGGATGAGATCGATCGTGCTCGTGTTGGACTTGCTAGCGCAGGGCATCGTGGTGTCCCACATGCCAGCACTGTCCATTAGCAGCTGCACCTCCTCCTCCGTCGAGAACACGCGGACCACTGCGAGGCTGGATCCTGCAAACGGTTTTAAGGTTTGTGCTCGAGTCGAGGCGGGACGAGGAACCCTGCTCTCTGTGCGCATTGCGCCTTGACCCCTCTCAAAGGTTCCATACAAGGGGATTTGTTAAGGTTGGGCTTGGGAATGCTCTCCTCCAGCCACGGCTGCCAATGCTGCGAGTGCCAAGGTCAGCAATTTCATGGCTAGATGAAGAAATGCCACCAGAACTAAGCTACTACGAATCACAAGAGCCGATGCTTGAGCCCGGCAGAAAACCATCCAGGCTGACATGAGCTGATCACAACCAAATTAGCTAGCAGTTTACAAGACGCTTGAAAAACTCGCAAGGGCGGAGCCCCGCAACAACCGCTTGCCTTAGGGCGCGGCTTCAACGAGCGTGGCTCTGCATAGACCACATCGTCCCGGGGGGGTGGGGGGCGGCGGGGGGGGTGGGGGCAACGGCGGCCAACACAAGAGAAACTTGGAGAATAGCATGAAGGACATCTGAGGAGGAGTCTAATGTTGTGAAGGTTGTATGCCCCCGCCTTGATATCCGGAGCGTAGCACGCCACAGATTTCAGGAGTGGACACAACTCATCGTGGTGTGGCACGTAAGCAAAGTGAGG